CCTCCGTTCTAAGGGGAACGAGATAAGGGACCGCGGATAAGAAATAGACTCAATTAGCCCCGACCATAAATAAAAGTTGTCGCTCATGTAGCTGAAGCCTGCGTACTTGCCTCAAAGACTTTCAGTTTGTACCCTTAATGTTTGTAACCCTAGGGCTTTAGGTCCCAAATACAGATACTAAGGGCCATGTTCTATGGTTTGGGGACCTAAACCAAGGGTACAAAGGAAAACTCCCTCATTGCCAAGAAAGATGAATCAACTGGACCAAGCATGGAACATGAAATGGAAGCAGGGATGGTATAGTGGCTTATAAGCTTAGGGCTTCGGGTTTGTAGAAGCCATGACTTAATGCTCCTATGACTGTAGTACATACACCCCGAAACCCTATTCTGCTTCTTTAAACTGTCATGCTGAAGGATAAGGGACGCAGGGATTGAAGGAGTTAAGGATAAACATCACCTGCCCTAATATTAAATGCGCCCACCGACCTGATATCAAATATCTACAACAAATGGTGCGACTGAATGTTGGGTGGGTATGGTAATATCAGGGGGACAGGATTAATTCAAACAGAGATTTTCGCAAGCCCCGAAGCCAAGAAATCTTCAGAATTTCCCGCTGTAACTTGCCCCTTCGCTTTTTGGAATCTGCAGCGTAACAGCTTTGAAGCGAGGGCTTTCCTAGCGAGGGCTCCTTTTCCTAGGGTTTAGGGTTTAGGCTTGGTTTAGGGTTTAGGAACTCGAACTAAGTTACCCTGAGTATGTAGTAAATGATACAGTATGATTCTTCATTATGGTGCCTTCGAGTTCGTTTCCCGCAGCCCAGCTTCCTCCACGCACCTTGCAGAAGGGTATTTGCAGGGTAGGGCGGATAGATTTCATGAGCATTGCATTCTATACCATCTAGTGAACTGCAATCTCTGACGGGGGATGGTGTAAGAGCAAAACGATGAATCACAAAACAGCCTTTTCTGCGGACTGTTGCTGCGGATATTTCCTCACCTGAACAGCTTAAGAGGCAGCAAGGAAGGCTCTCCAAGAGACGACTTTTCTTGCTCCATGCAAGCGTTCACTTATCTTGTTGTTTGGAAGAGAGCACTGCCAAAGTTGATTGCAGAGATCTGATGACAGGCGGCGTGGCACATCTCACTTTAAGAGCTGCGGCGGTTCAGTTTTGACTTATCAATGAACGTCATGTTGGGGTAATAGCTTCGAAAACAAAGGAGAAGTACAACGATGATTTTGACGACGAAGAGGCGGGTAGTGAAAAGCGTGTGTTGGTGGTCGAGTTTAGCTCTGAGAACTTGAAAGTAAGAAGGTCAATAACTCAATAACATCAGCATCTCACGATCGTGAGTCCAAGCGTTCACTTGTAGAGGTTTTCAGCCTTATCCGGACTCTCGCCCCCGCGTCTTTCAGCTTTGTCACAGGCTTAGGATTCAGCTTGCGACTTTGCCTTTGGTTTGTCCTGCTGTTGCAATCTATGATGTTGCATGAGGCTTTAATAAGAAGATCTTCTCGGCGCAGCCTTGGCTTGCACATTCAATCTTGAGAGATCTCAACCCCAAAATATCTTGAGATTACCATTCTCATGGTTAATAATGTAGTCTAAGCCGTACAGGGTTTGTCCTTCGGTTCTGGCGCCGGAGAGGACAGGCCAACCTCAAGCTGTTTGTGGTAACCTCCTCAAACTTTCGACTCTTAGGGGTACACTGAGTTCCTTCGTATAACCCTACGGATCCTTGGTGTGGTTCGCCCATTGTAGCAGCAGGAGTTTAAAATAAGCTGCCATAATATGAGTCTTTTGTAAATGATGAGGTTTCTTTGTCATTGCAATTCTACAAAGACTTCCCTAACAGCAACCCAGAAAGAGGCCGTGGAGATGCCGAGACTTGCTGCCGGCGTTGCCTCGGATTGGGAGGATGGGAAGGTCTGCTAGATCTTAAGCCCTCAATGCTAGGGCCCACCCTCAGCCCCTGAACCGTTAAAAAGATCTGATGGCATGCGGCCTTTTCAGGACACCAAGTCTGACGAGGAGGAGGAGAACAGCAGCGACGAGGGCCAGCAGCAGTGGAGCAACAACAGGCAACTTCAGGGTTTCGGTTCAGGGTTCGGCGTTTGCTGTATGCACCAGCAGCACAAACAAGCACACACTACCTGCAGCAGATATACGTAGCGAGGTCAGAGGTACTAGCAGCAACAACAACTTGGCTCTTCTGACTAAAGCTGACGGCAACCATAGTCAAAACCCCAAGCACGAGGTGCAGCAGTTCCCCAGCCCATTGGGGTTGTATAATAACCCTGCGCCGGAGGATTATGTCCTGGTGCGCCGCGAAGTGCAAAAAACGTGCGGCTGTAGTTGAAAAAACGATAAGAAGAAAGAATAACGATAACGATATGGCCCAAAACTTGAACAAACAAACGGCACGAGGAAAATCCAACGATAACAACTTTTTGGGTCAAGCAAATAGGAACGGTTTTTAACGGTTTTTATATAACACTACTCCCCTTTTTGTGCAAAATTAGCAATAATCCTTTCCAAAAGCCTTTTACAAACAAACCCGAAACCATAGGAGCCCTTGTGTAAGCTTACGCAGGATGCGCGGTGGCCGGGTCAAGGGCAAGGGCAAAGGCAAGGGCAAAAGCTCGCAGCCCGCATCCTAGCTGGAAATTGAGACAGAGTTTAGGGTATTGTTGTACAATCCTCAAAGGGGGTACCTACATCCCTATACGCCATGCATTGATCACATGTCCCCGTAGGGTGACTGGGTACCCCTCCTTTGAGACACCCTCTCGTGGGTGTGTGGGAGACTTCAGAGTCCTGACGCGCAAAAATGCATATTCTGGTTGAGTTTTAGAGATTTCGTGCGGGTCCTCGTGCCCAGCGTGTTCTTTTTGAAGGGCTCCAACAAGCTTGAACTTTAAAATCCTAAGCTCTAACCTTTAAACCCTGGACCCCAACAGTCGAAACCCAGACCTTGAATCCTAATGATCAATCCCTCAACAGCTTCTACGCCTTGTAGAATCATGTAATGTTGGTCTTTCTTGCCAACCCCATGGCCTTTTCTCAGAGGTCTCTGGCCAAAGGGGTGACTGCGTAGGTACTGCAGGGGTCCAAGAATGATTTAATGGACCGGTGTAGGTGTGCCCCTTTGGGTGGTGATGAGATGTAAGGTGTCGTATTATGGGATATTGTGAGATGGCTCTCGCTAGTGTTCATGCACTAAATCGAAGCGAAAAAAGAAGCCGAAACGCCCTGGAAAAACTACACCCCCCCCCCACTCTATGGCCGCCCAACCCAATCCTTAACCCTTTACTACTCCTGCACCCTATCGCCCCTTGAACCCTGAGCCCAATCCCCCCCCCCTGCTCGAAAGCCAAAGCAAAGCAAAGGTTCAGGGTCAAACCTTTGCCGCTCGGCGGAAGGAAGCCAACAAGGCTGGGTGTTGGGCTTGGGGCTTACGGTTTAGGATTCAGGGGCACGGATTTAGGGTTTAGGGCTTGGTGGGAGTGATTGGGATGCAAGGTTCAAGGATTTAGGATGTAACGTAGAGTTGCGCAGCATGAAGGAACAAGCTCGGGCTGAAGGTTGGGTTTACGGCTCCTTCCCTGGAAGATTGGAACCATGGAGCCCTAAGATGGGACCTTCTCCTGCAAAGCCCCCTTCGCCCTCTTCCCTCCAGTGATAGTGCCTTGCAAAAAGGGCTGGCATAATACAGGGAAAAAGTGCTGTTTGAAAGGAGGCCTTCAAACTATTGGGAAGGGATATTGACAGTGGGCGCATCGCCCGCGAAATGATCTTGGCTAAATGTAAGGTCATCTTGCTGAACGGCATCCTCGGAAAAAGAGGGGGATGCTTGTCCTACCAGCGAGTGCAAACCAACATGTTGAACGTTCGCTGCACAGAGAATGGTTGTGAGACTAGGGCTCATCCAGATTCCCTGCGCCCCTTTGAACAAATCATCTCTAAAACAGCGACGTGCTGACAACTGGCTGCTAGGTAGCAGCTAGTTAGCACTTAGAGCTTGGGAATAATTCCGGGAATCACTTTCACGCTTACAAGGTCCTTTACACTCTGCAAGTCGAGCAGATCCTCGAATTGTCAAGCCTTGCAAGCCCTTTGGTGACTCCAAAGATTAGGATCCCTTGCGGGGGTCCTCGTGACAAGGATTGTAGTATGTCTGTACTTTTCGTTCTTATATTGGTCCCCCTCCCAATGCATGGCACACCCCGTAGATCTTCTTGTTTTGTGGGACCATCGGCCTGGACGGATTGTCTTGGTAGGGGAGCCCGGCTTCTTGTCGAGATGCTACAATACAGACTCTCGGCAGAAGCCCGCTTTGCTCCCTTTTTAGCAACCCAACATACCCCCCTACAAACCCTCAGTCCCCTCTTCAGGTGCCTAAAACCTAAATTCCGAAAGCCCAACTCTTGGAGGCGCAGGTTGCGAACCACAACAGACGCGATGGGGCCATGCGCGACCCGGCTGGCATTGCAAATCCCTCCCCAAGGTAGGGTTGAAATGGCTTCGCAGCCTTCATACCAGAGCCTTCAAGGGTCCCTAAATCCCAAACCTTAAACCCATTCTCTGAAGAGTCTTAGAAAATGGCGTTGGTAGGGCAGTAGACCAGGTTTTAAGGCTGAGGGCTCTTCAGGGGTATCTGGTAGCATTTGCTGACATTTCTGCGTCCCAACGCCTTAAAGCCTACTGTCATACGACCGCATCCGACTACAAGAGTAATCCTGCTGCCCGGACCCATAAGCCCGAGCCTTTGTACCGTTGTATACAAATACAAACGTTCATCTAAAAGCCTGGCAGGGCTAGATTATGGGAGAAATTCGGTGAGTTGCAAGAGGCAAAGTAGGGGAGGATGGTGTAGAGCTTCGGGCTTGGGATCTCTAAACCCTAAGCCCTAAACTTTACCTAGGGTCTTTTCAGCGTTGAGTTCCACATGATGCATCGCAAGCCCCGGACCAAGACCTTAAGGTGCCGAAATTACATGCATCATCATACATCATCCGCCCCAAGCATCTGATTGAGTTTATGCTTTGGAACTATTTTAATAGGGTATATTGGGGTTATTTTAGGGTTGTTACAGGGATAATGGAAAAGAAAATGGAAACTAATATAATAGGGTGCATATATACGTATATATATATATGTCGGGGCATAAGGTATAGGTGCAATGAGCTGTGAATGGCCCTCAAAATGACAGACAAAAGAATGTCATGTGAGAATCAAGAACATTGCTTGACGTGCCCACTAGCTGCAGAAGCAAGAAAAGTTGGAAAAGTGGCGCCATGAACAGCAATCAGTCTTGTAAAGACATTGTCCCTAAACGTTTGCCCCCAACACCTAGACCCTAAAACCCTCCCAGTGGTTATTGCACAGAACCTACGCTGCAAACCACCCACAACCCTTAACTCTAGTCCCTAAACCTTAAGCCACCCGAAGCCGTCAACCCTTGCGGTCGGTCCTGCCAACAGCTTCAAATTATGCGAGGCAAGATGGCGCGTGGCATGTAAGCAGCCCACACGTTCTGCTGCTGGGTGGCTGATGAGAAAGTTTGAGTTGCGGACTTATAGTGCTTCGAGGTGCGATCATAATGCACATTCAAATTTAAATGGAAAAGAGCATGGAACATTTATGAAACTGTAATGGGAAGTGTAGTGGTCATATACGGTGATCAGGAACTTAAGGTCATGTTGTCGGAATATGGACATCTGCTGAAGAGCGTGATATCCTTAAGCGCGTAACTTACTTTGAGTTCCTTCACAACAGCCCAGGCTGTGCTACTTCCTGCCTTCTGAGCAGCGCGTCCGAAGGGAGCTTCCTGAAATCAGTCGCCGATTACTTGAGCCCTCCAGTTAGTTGCTCTTTGGGGGTGCTTGCGTTTAATTAGGGTTAGCAAGTCCTAAATGATATGGAAATGGGTGGCTAACAGGGATGTATGCTTGAGCATGTATAGGGCTTAGGCTCTTGGGTTCTTGTTAGCATGGAATGAAGGAGTGAAAAACATGATTGAAACTACTATGCTCCTCGGAACTGCATAAGGGCTATGGGGATCCACTTCTCCGTTCTCCTCCAAGTAGCAACCAGCAAGCATAGGGTTTAGGCTTTGGGGTACACAAGTTTCGGCCTCTTCCTCAGTTCCAAAAACTACCCAAGGGCTTCTAGATCCTTGGCATAAAATTTACTACCCAACAATAACTAAAGGTTTTGCATAAACCATAAGCCGTAAACCCTTACGCCAAGAACGGGGGCTCCTGAATTGCAGGGATGTCCCAAATTTTCATCGCTAGGATCACCCAGGGACTGGGTGCCGGAGCTCGATACAGCAGAGACCTCACACGAGGTTTCTCAACTGGGAACCCAGGGATTATTATTTGTAGGAGTATTAGCATTACTATCAATATTGTTTTCAGCGATTCTAAGGGGATGGTGGATTATAAAAGGGGGGCATTCTGAGATATATGAGGCACATGAGACATACCCGCATGCAGTGTAATTTATAGAAGACAAGAACAGCCCCACAGAGATAGCAGCACGACAAGCCTAGTTATTTCAGAGCAGAAAAGGCTTTAGGCCCGGTTCCAGATCCAGGGCCTTGTTTAAGAATGCTGTTCAGGTGTAGGGTTTGGAGTTAAGAATTGAGTTGGAGTTCGCGTTTAGGGCTAAACTTCAGTGTGAAGGAAACAGCCAGGCGTGCCCAGAACGAATCGCCCAAGGTTCCTTATGTCAGCAGATAGACGATAACATGCGAAGCCCATTCGGAGAGCCACGGCTTTCGGGTCTGTACTACGATTATTAATAGGCTGAAAAGCCGTAGTAGAGTTACTATTGTTGCTACGTTCACTGTTGTTCTTGTTGTAAGTTTAGATCTTATTGTTCGTAGTACTGCTACTAGTAATGGTACTGCTAGGGTCCCTGCGGTGCATCACAGGTTCCTGAAAGCACAGACCAAGTTTGATCAGCAGTGTTTTGCATTTCAAGAAATAATTTCAAGTGACCGAGGGTGCGCAGCCATAGCCATAACCTGTGAATGGCCACTTCTTAAGTTCTTCTTTCCTCGTGGAATGGTTGTGGCTGTCAGCTGACAATGAATAAGTGCCCACCCGCCTATGGGCAGTCTTCCACGAAACCTCAGGCCCCTGAGAAAAAGCCTGCAGCATGAATCCTTTCCTAGCATCCGCTTCTCATGTACGCCTTCCCTTCCGGGGGTTTAGGGTTTAGGGTTTAGGGTTTGGTTTAGGGTTTAGGGTTTAGGGTTTAGTAGCCTTCATCCTGATTCAAACTATTAGGGCCGGCCCCCAGCGTTGCTCAGCTTTTGAGCCAGTTAGCACCTGTACAGCTCACTTAGGGTCGGCATGGAAAGCGCGCGAAAGATTCCAAACCCATGGCCTCGACCAGCGGAGAAATCCTAAGTAGGCTTGCTTACCGTAATTGAGGTCAGGTCTTTAATTCCAGAGGACCTCTAGTAGGATACGTTGTTCTGAGACATGCCTATGAAAGGTAAGGACTGCGATAAGCTTTTGACTTCGGGGTCATTCATGTAATCACATAAGCTTTTCCTAATCATAACAGCAATAGCTATTTAAAGTAGTGGTGACAATACATATTGGTAATAGCTGTAATCTTAGCGAAAGAAATACATGTAATAGTAATAACTTGAACAAGCAGAAGAAGAAATGCAAGAATAACAATCTGAATCATGTAGCCCCAACTCGCAGACCAATTGGGCCCCACGGGCTTTAGGTTTATGATCCCCCTCGACTAGATAGAATATGGCTTTGGGCTTTGGGTATATTGTAACAAGATCCAAATATACACCATTTTCGATTTACTTAAGGCGGACTATTTGGGCTTGCCTTTGGCCCAAACCCCTCTACGTCGCACTCTGTGGAACCGGACGCTCCCTCAACATACATCTCATGCTTTTTCTAAGAAGAGCAGAAATCATAGTTTCTACCAGGGTTTAAGGGGGAACTCAGAGTCCCTGATGACCGCCCTAAAACCGTAAACCCTAAAACCCCAAACCCTAGATCCTACAACCCTAAACCCCCTAAACCATTCGAGTCTTGGGACGTGCATGCCTATAATCCTCCCCCTAATAATCCCCACAGGCACCCCACAAACTCCCCAACATAGTACCATACCACCCTCAGACGGGTTATATAGGGATACGTAGAAGAATAGGAGAGTACACAGGGGCATACATCTGGAACAAAAGACCACCTCTTTAAAGTACCATAACATATTTCGGGTCTTAAAAAGTGGCGGGTTTGATGCTAGGGGAGGAAATTACAGTAGTTTCCATAAGTATAGGGTCCCAATACAGACCATGCGATAATCCTCAAGGGGCGGGCGCCTCCCAACGAGGGGCCGCCAAAATCTTGGAAATTCCCAGATTATGTAGCCTTACGCGAGGAAAAAATAGGCCTGGAAGACGCCATGGAGTTGGAACAGCTTGGTTCTGATCTGGTAGTTTCCCAAAATAAGGGGACCCCAATATAGACCCCAAAATACTGTAGTCCTTATTATAGGGACCCTTAAATGGGTACCCCTAATTTTAGGAAACCCTAATCCCTATAATTCCCTATATAAACCCAGTTTCCACTTCATTTTCCATTTTCTTTTCCATTTGATTCTCCATTATAGTAACCATAAGTACCCCTAATTTTAGGAAACTACCATCTCTTCTGCTAGTACAGGAGGCCAGCTCCTGAGGCGGCTGGTGGCAAGGTCAGGTAGGGAAATATCGAGATATTGCCTGAAACTTTAGGAGGACCCCCCACCCTGTAATAGTGGTATAATAAGAATATGAGAGGACCCTAATATGATCCCTATTATCCCTTATAGTCACTATTACTGGGCACCTAACTTAAACTCTATAAGAACGGCACTATGGAGGGTTATATAGGGGATATATCCGGGATGGTATATGTATATATCTGTATATATATATATGTTACAAGGCGTAGGGGGATAACCCCTACAATGAAGAACCAAACGGACGTGGCATGGAAAGTGAGATGACCAAGTAGTGTATGAGGTTGAGGGAAAGACCAAGTTATAACCAGGCAGTATCCTACTTCCTTGAAAACACTAGTTTCAGAAGAATCTGCCTACCTAGCTGGCAGGGCAAGTTGAGTTGTTTTTTCCGATTAAGCCCGCAATCGGACTCGTGCCTAGCTAAGGTAAATGCCCTACCTGCATTTCATTCCAAACCCCCGACCTGAAACTTTAACTTTTAAACCTCATTTTAGAGGTGGCAGAAAAAACCTGATAGTAAGCCCCTAAACCCTAAACCCTAAGCCCCCATCTCAAAGCCGAGAACCCCACCATCCATCTGTGGGACTACCCCGTCTTGCCAGCGGCTCAGTCGCTAAGCGTGCGGCGTGCGCGCAAAGTTAGCCTGGCTCACGCCAGCCGGAGGACAGCCTGCGACAAAGGAAAAGTGGATTCGTCTAGGGCCGGTTTAGGGTTTGCCCAGAGCCTCTTATGCAGGTCCTCAGTGGGTGGTGTATTAAGATGCTTTCCCCAAAAAACCATACCAAACCCAAAAAGGAATTAACCCATGCAAAGACCCAAC